AGAGCTTATCGTGTGCTACTGCAAACTGTGTTGTACTCCAACACAGCAGTAATCCTCACGCATAACGACCTCTTAGTTCTTAGTCCATTAATCCGATAAACTACTCCCGCTGTATTGTGGATTATAGGCCCTTAGTGAGACGATCCTTTATAGTGCTCAGAACTCGTGCAATAAGTACATGAGGCAGTTGGAACACATTAACTAAACCTTTGCCAGGAGCGACTCTAACGGTACCGTGGTCAGGTTATTTTTTTCTATACCATTAATTTTTAATGGTTTTGGTGTTTTTTTTCTCAGCGGAACTTAGAACTGTTCATATGAAACAGGCCTAGCCACCCACCACCTAAAAATCCCCCATCGCGCGTGCCTAATAAAAGAGAGTACACAATGTATATAGTTGCTCTATGATCACTTCTGTTTTTAGTGTGGCTTTGAGACTGATAGTTTGAGTGAAGCAAAGCTCATATTATGATTGACACAATAACGATCGTAAAGTGCAGGGAAAAAAAACAAAACAGAAACAATAGAGAGAAAGAAAAGGACATACCAGTGACGCTCTAAAATCACATGTAGCATGTAGTATGAGTTAAGAGGAGCGCTTATAATTGGAAACAATGAGTGCCATTTAGAGAGCCGATGAGAGGGGGGGGGGGGCATTTCAGTGCGTACACGAAGTTGTTTAAACAAACTTTCACTACGAGTGGTGTCCTTCATCCATCTGCTTGTAAGATCTTTGGTGAACATGCGTTTGGAATACATGTTTTGGTTGTGACGACGAAAGAGAGAGGTGGATGGGGGGAGGAAGGGGGATGGAAAGAGGTGGGGGAAGAGATGTGACAAAGGAGGGAGGAGATAAAGATAAAGACTGATTTATAGACAGACACACGGGCATACAGACAGACAGACAGACAATTCAGAAAATAGACAAAGGAAAAATTTGTTTTCAGACGACGTAGCCTACATTAAGAATGCCATTGTGCAGACATTTAATAAGTCTCCTTTGAGATTCGATTATAATTCTTACTAGTAAGAAATTAACTCGGCGTGGAGAGTAGGTTCAAATGTACATGTATTTGTTATTTGATTAAGATATGTTCAGTACCTGAATAATGTTCCATCATTCAGTTACTCCATTTCTCAAAATTTTATTAGTTCTGTCTGTCTCTCTAATCTAGATGTACTGATCTACTACCCCCTTTATATCCCATCTCCCACCCACCCTTGTCTCCC